AGAGAGAGAGAGAGAGAGAGAGAGAGAGATTTAAAGTTTAATTATTGTATGTAACGTTTGGTCGCTGTGAAAGAATTAGCGCTATTCGATTAGTTTTTAATTTTAAAAGTAGCATAATTAGTCGGAGACGTGTCATTTCGATACGCACGTGCGTCTAAGAAGAATGGCGCGAAAACATCTGGATTCGAGAATCGAGATCCTAGTTTTTCCCTTCGTCTCTGCCTTTGTTTTTTATCTAGCTGCATTCGAAGTCGAAATCTAAACATCGTTCGTATATAGTTAGCGAAATACTAAACGATTTCTCAATTTCTCGGACAGCTCGGGTTATCAATGAAAACATGAGCGTTGATAGTAAAGTAAAGAGTCTCGGTAAATAAGAGGACAATTTGTTTTCTTTTTCTTTTTAAAAAATTTTAAATACATGTTAAACACATTTTGTTGTTTTGCTTGTAATGCATTTGTTGAAACTTATCAATTTATATTGCCTATTATTGGTTCCAACCTGAAAGAAAAGAGAGCAATCTTATAATGATAAATTGATATCGTAAGTTAAGTTAAAATATTATATTTATATAGGGAAAGAATAGCAAGGCTTAAGTCACATAGTTTGAAAATCAATATCGTTTACTCCAGTTTGAAAGATGAAGAAAAGGAGTTACGAGATACAAAGAGGAAGCGAAAAAGGATTGAAAAATTTGCACGATGAATATTTCCACGTGTAATAAATGTGTGCAAATTGAACATTACATTCGTATCCGTATACTCTGCATAATATTCGTTTATTTATCGTAACATTATCGTATTTTATACATCAACTTGATACCATCGAAGCGATCGCGTTAAAGTAAAATTAACGTTTCAAACACTCCTATTGCCGCTTGGCAAATAATTTTTGGGATGTTTTACTTATGCGTAGTATAATACAAAACAAAAGCAAGTAATATTTCATTAATACATCTTATTGATATTACTTAAGCCAAATGAATCGAAAGATGAGGTGCATCGTTAATTGTGTTAATGCGTAATTGATTCGCTATTGATGTAGCGGGTTACGTAATTTCTGCAGAATTTTGCGAAAATGTAAATAAATAAATAATTAATCTGCGACAGTCCAAATCTCAGCTCGCTTTTGGTGCGTTTGCTGCCTAATTTTGTGCGGTATAATGGCAACATTACTGATTGTACAATATTCTAGTATCATACGGTTCGCTGCAACTAGGGCAGGGTGTTAGACGATTGATTTGAGATTAATTTTAAACCTCTGTGAATTCGACTCTGACATCTCATGTAAAAATAGTTCGAAATTGTCCGAATTTTTCATTGAAATCTTTCGAATCGAATCGAATCAAATGAGATGCCGCATAATTATAAGTGTAATTTCTTTTAGAAACCAAAAGAGAGAGGAGGAGGCGCTATCCTTGTGCTCTATCAATTGAGATTCCGTGCAAACATTTCGCCAATTCGATAGCGTGGAGTCATGATGCATGCTAATGATGATATTAGAAAATACTCTATCGATTATATACATATGTAGAAAATATTATATCGATTATATACATATGTACATACATACACAATATTAATCTCCGCCGTGTCTTCTCTCGCATGTACGCTTCTCGCTTACCTTATCTTACGCGTTAAAATCGCATCTGTTTTCGATTCCGTGCTTTAATAATCTAAACACGATATATATTCCACGTTTATTGCGCACATGTTTAACGTTGTTGTGCAATCAAAGTGTTAACGATCGTCGCGTCGTTCGATCAGCGGCCTGTGTCAGTGGAACTTTTGACAGATTGATGCTCGAATAAATATTGTGAAATGAATCATTGTTCGGATTTGACTTGGGTTTTGTTTCAAGATATTTATTAAGAAAATCTTCCGCTTTGTCAAGGATCGCGATGCACGACAATAATCTCTTTTTTCTTGAAAGAGCAAACGAGATTGTATGTTGTATGTTACAATGTCGTTTCACGTACAGATACGTTTTGTCGACTGTTTTCTTATTCACGTAGAAATTAGCAGGCAAAATCACACCATTATCAATTTCATCGTTTCAAGACTGATCGGTACGCATTTCGCATACGTTACACAGCATGCAGATACTCGGAACAGAGATAAAAGCGAAAGTACGACACAATTTATTATCTTTCTTTGAAATATATTAACGATTTCGCATAACGTTAAGAATGCACCCTGCCTGTGTCCTCGAAGTTTCAAGTATTACCGTGACCTGAAAGCGTGCGCTCGCACACCCTTTCTTTTTTATTAATAAATCGTTATTACCCGGGTAATGGCGAGCATTCTTCGCGCAACTCACTCTCATCCAGAGTCCTCACCGAACCGGCCGGAGCCTCAGGGCGACCTCAAGAGAGTCGCGTGGCGAGATACCACCGAATTACCGAATTGCGAATTGAATTCCGAATGTAAACGATACTCACCTTGGCCCACTCTTTTTCAGGTTCTCTCATTTGCGCTTTTCGACCAATAAATATGAGCAAGAGTTTTCAAACGATCTTTCCTTTTAACATAATCTACATGATCTATAAACTGTACTTTCATGTCACAAATCACGTACGAATCGATATTCGGACCGGTATCGCTATCGAGAGTTTAGTTTTTCCTTCAGCGCCAAGTTCCATCTTCAATCCTAGAGAAACGATATATCGTGTGTGCGGGTATTGCGATGCGAATCGCATAAGTGTCCTGAAAGTTTATTTCGGTCCAACTGTCCAACATTTAATACAATTTATTTTATTCAAATTTATAGTCGAATAAGCTTATTTGTAGATGAATCAATTATCTATCTATTATCTATCTATTCCTGCAATCCTAAGTGCTTGTAATGGTACATACAAGTAAGAGATGTAATTACATTATTATATACGACTATGTGAAATCATCAACAGGTGTTGGAATATCAAGGGAACAGAGAAAAGATTGCGCCATCTTTTTATTTTGTAATCGATATCATCGATAGAATAATAATTTTTATCGAACTGAGTCTATCGTTTTCACGTGTTTGCGTCAGCGTAACGTAACGTAACGTAACTTAACGTAACGTAACGTAACGTAACGTAACGAATTAGTATTCTTCTCGTAAACTTGGTCTTGGTTTTCTTTCGCTAGTTGTGACGTCCGAAAACTCACATGGAATACACATCAAATAGTTTTCGTAATTGATTCCGCATCTTAATTTCGTTCAATTTCTCCGGCACAGATCTAACATTCTCTTTTTGTTGCTTTAATATGAAAATAATACAAATAAATTGTATTCAATGTCTCTAAATTCATCGATCACCCTCTCGCAAGCCAAATAGATATTTTGAGTGCATAAGTGGCCGTGAATATTTTATCATTGGAAATGTTTTACATATTTCGGTATTAGATTGGATTTTTCTCATCGAATCGCGAAATCTGGCGATTATACAAGCGTTTACGATAAATATATATAAACATGAATATCTCACGTTGTCGATAAAAATAGCGTACTTCGATCGCATTGAGTTCAGAATAACCCATAAT